GTTATTGTGTGTGTTAGTGTGTGTTAGTGTGTGTTACTGTGTGTTAGTGTGTGTGTTATTGTGTGTGTTACTGTGTGTTAGTGTGTGTTATTGTGTGTTATTGTGTGTGTTACTGTGTGTTAGTGTGTGTTATTGTGTGTTATTGTGTGTGTTAGTGTGTGTTAGTGTGTGTTACTGTGTGTTAGTGTGTGTGTGGTCACATGATGCAGGGATGACAAACCTTTTGCAGGTCTGTGACTCACTGTTCTCACTTCTTCTTCTTCTTCTTCTTCTTCTTCTTTTGTGGTCAGTTTTTCCTCCGGCAGGTGAACTGAGGTCAAACTGACCTGAGACCTGACAGGAAGCTGTTCTGCTGTTTAAAGGACTTTATTTTGACAGATAATCTGAAACTTTAATTAGAAGAATCATGATGTTTGGACTTTATTTTATTTATTATATTTTCATTTTTCAAAGCTCCCTGCAGATACGACCACCTGTATCACATGACCCAGGTCACATGACACCTGAGCCCTCAATGGCAACCAAATAGGCCTAGATTACTATTTTTATTTCTTTAGATCATCCACATGTCTTTATTTCACATACAATCACATTAGAAATTATTTTTCATGTTTTAATGTATTTTTGTAGGCTACAGATATTTTAGTTTATGAAAAGTCAATTTTTATAAAATATATTTGTCCCTTTTTGTTATTTTATTATTATTTAATAATATTTTTATTGTTATTTATTTTATGTATATTTGTTTTTTTTATCTTGGTGACTAATTTGTTAGTTTTTTTACAATTTGTTTTCAATATTATTTATTTATTTTTCTGTTTGTTTATTAAATAAACAACGTGTTCTTAAATATATTTTGAGACTTTTGAGGTCATCTCATCTGTCAATCAAAGCCCGGATGTGTATCTGGACCGAACTCATGACGTCACAGGTTTGCATAACACCTGTTCGAACAGCCCGAGCCGTCTGCGCATGCTCCAGCTTCTCCTCTGTGGAGAGAAACAGAGCGCGTGCCGCTGCTGCTCAGGGCGGCTTCACCTGCTCAGGTAATCTACCTGTGAGCCAATCAGGTGCTTCCGCGCGGCCGTTTGTTTACTGTGGGCACGAGGGGCCGCGTGGGCGCCGTGACCCGGCACGAGCTGCGGGTTTAAAGTGATCAGAAACAAAGAGTGATCCGGATCAGAGGGGTGATGGTGCACGAGGGGGGGGGGGCACTCCTCAATTATCCCTCCGCGTGAAGATAGGTGGCGCGTGTTGGTAGAGGGTCTCGCGCCTGTTTATGTTGCAGGAACAGGCTCCGGCGGGAGGCTCACAGGACCAGTGCAGACCTGCCCGCCCGGACCGACGCTCCGCTGACGCACCGGGACGCGCCGGGACCGGATCCACGGTCTCCAGATTTATTCAGGGAGCGGGTGCGCGCGCTGCAGCGGCACTTTCTGTCCTTTTCTTCCTCGCTGCTTTTTCTCCTTCAGCGGGAGGAGACGGGAGGCTCTCCGGTAGGTTTCCTCTCTCCTCTCTCCTCTCTCCTCTCTCTCCTTCAGGAGCCAATCAAAGCGCGCCAGTTACCTGCGCTGCTCTACCTGCGCCAGGTGAGGAGAGAGGTGCGCGCTCCCGCTGGCTGCTGCTTCCAGGTGTTGGTGGATGGAGGTGATGGAGCGGGTTCTCCAGAGGTGACGGCGGGAGGAGAGACGCCGGCAGGCCGGGGAGGAGCAGCTCTGCTCCCCGCTCAGACACCGGAGCCTGGCGGAGGACTGACCCGGGCTCAGAGCTCCGGCGGCGGGGCAGCAGGCGGAGAGCAGCCCGGCGTCTCTGCGGGGACAACTCCGATATTAACGCAGATTACATGAGCCTGAAGGCTTCCGTCCGTTCACACGCGCACACACATTACAGAAATATTAAATATAGTGCGCGTCTTTTACTGACCTGCACACACACACTGCAGGCCCGAGCCTTATATAACCGAACACGGACCCACGTCCCGGATTCAGGTTCGATAATCTGAAGAAAATCAACAAGTTTATTGTTTAATGTCACAAAGTGAGTGTGTGTGTTGTTGTTGTGTGTGTGTGTGTGCGTGTGTGTGTGTGTGTGTGCGTGTGTGTGTGTGTGTGTGTTGTGTGTGTGTGTGTGTGTGTTGTGTGTGTTGTGTGTGTGTGTGTGTGTGTGTGTGTGTGTCCGCCCTCCTCCTCCTCCTCCTCCTCCTCTGTCAGACCAGCAGAGTCGCTCCTCTCTCAGAGACCAGGGACGGGGACGCGGGGCGGCGGTGCGCTCGGTGCACGCTCTCCAACAAAACAAACAAACTAAAAAGAGTTTTTATTAAACCGGATTTTATTTTTCCTAAAGTTCCCTGAAGTGCTCAGTAAAGTGTGGTCCGGGTAGAGGATCTGGTTTTGGGATTTACTGTGTGTGTGCTGGTTGTCAGGGAGCGGGGAGGAGCAGCGGAGCCGGATCGAGGAGCCCATGCGGACTGGACTCACTTATCAATGAAGCAGGAGATCATGGCGGAGGGTCCCCGCTGCAAGAGGCGAAAACAGGCCAACCCCCGGAGGAAGAACGGTAAGACAACACGCACACGAACACACCAAGTCCCGCAAACTCTACTGCGAGGTGTCCCCGCCCGTCCGCCCGCCCGCCCGGGCCGGGAGGTGCCCGCCTGCGTGTCCCCGGGACGCGACAAAAGAGTCACAAAAGTTCTTAAACGGGACTTTGTGGAGGTTTTGGGGGCTGAACGTGAGGAGGACTCGGGCCCGGTGTGTGATGGAGCGGGGCCGGGACCCCGTCGGGACCCGCCGGGTGGAGGAGGTCGGAGTCTCAAAGCAGGAAAACCGTTATTTCTCCGCGTGAGAGCTTCGGGTCCGCGCGCCCCACAGACACTCTGCTTCGTCTTCACTTTGTGTCCCGGTTTGTGACTTCTCAGCACCGACAGCCCGCAAAACACGTTTTATTAAAACAAATACATTTGATCTGAAAAAGGCTTTAATTTACCTGTTTTTAATTTTAATTTAACAAACTGACAAATTAACGTGAAACCATAAAAAAAATCTGCTTCATTTTAATTTGTGTAAAATCAGTTTTTTATTTTAGGACTTTTTTATTTTAATTGTTTGTTTCCACCGAGGAAGAGGAGGGTGAAGAAAACCAGCATCCTCTTTTCTTCTTTATGGGGTCACAAACTGACATCTGCTGATTTATTTTCATTTTAATTCACATTTTAATTTGTTATTAAATTAAATCCAGCTCTCGTATTTTCCCTTGTTGCGAACTCCCTTTAAAAACCCCGTGTTTTTGCTCTTTGTGTGGCCCCGAGGCGCCGCAGTCATAGTGAAACCACTTTTATTTCACTTGTTGGAATTTATTATTATCAGCTGTTTGAACACAGACTCACATTTAATTCTTAAGTTCACTGAGCAACAATAAAAGCTGACACTAAAAATAAGTTTGAAGGCCTCATTAACACTCAGCTTTCATGCTGATTTAAAGGCACAATCCGTCATTTAAATGCAAACAAAAGAAGCATTAAAGCAGGACTGAGGCGCGCTCACTCCCACAGTGACTGACACCGAGCGTGGAGTTAAAGCTTCACCTCCCTAAATCCTGCAAAAAATACATTTATATTTGTCTTTTTCCTCCTTCAGATGAAATGTTTAAAAAATGTAATTAAACTGTTTTTATAAATTTTCTCTTAAACTCAGTGAAATCTTTCTCGTTCCTCCGTCGTGAAGTTTTGTGGCGACGTTTCCTCCCGGCGTCGTGGTTTTTCTTCTTCTTGGGACTCGGCTCCGTCTCCTCCTCTCAGGGGTCCCTGGGGGGTTGTTGATGTGGGTGAGAAGGGGGGTCAGATTAGGGCCTGGTGTAACGGGATCTGTGCAGACTGAACAGCCTCCTCCATCTCTGGGTGTCTGTCCGTCACATCCAGCTGTGAGACTGCAGCTGTTTTATCACCAGGGTTTTCATTATTAAATTACCCGTTTACTGCATGAAGTTTGGTGCAGACCTTATTGTCACTTGGTAAAGCCGTGTGTCTCAGACTCTCATAAGGTTTAAAGTTTTTAAAGACTCCAAGTGTTTTAATGTGAAATTATTAAATTACCCGTTTACTGCATGAAGTTTGGTGCTGGTGTTCAGACCTTTTTGTGTCTCAGACGCTCGTTACTTTAAAGTTTCACAGACTCTAAATGTGTCAGCTGGTTCTGTCTCTCTGCCCGGGTTCCTCCCTTATCTGAACGACAGACGCCGTCTCACGCTCTGTAATTATGGTCTGCGTAAAGAAACATAAGAGGAAAAAATGTTTTTATCCTCATAAAGCTTTAAAATCCTGCTTGTGTCTCTGTGATAATAAAGACCAGGACCAGGACGACGGGGGACAGGAGCCGGTTTATTCTCAGGTTTAGAGGCTGGTGGATCAGACTGTCGAGACGTGCAGCAGAGCGGCGTCCCTGCAGCGGTGTCAGGCCGCCTGCTGCACCATTCATGCCACATGTCTCACAGCCGTGTCATTGTCCGCTCGGAGGCCGGCGCTCTGCTGCTGTTTACCGTCTCCGTGCTCACAACATGCTCACACCAGATCCCTGTGCACCACCGCACCACTTTTCACCAGCGCTCAGAAACACAGGTTTCTGTCATTTATGTTACAGAAATAGATGTTTTTAAAAACCCAACAGCTCCCATTTGTTGAGTTAGTTACAGGAGGGGACCAGAACCGCCAGGCTCTCTATTACAGGACGAAGGACGGGTAACACGGGTCCTGGTCCAGACCGCGGCCTGAGACAAATCTTGTTTAAGGGTTTAAAAAGGACCTCTGTTTGATAGAGTGACGGGTAAAGAGAAACGGGGTGGATGTTGCGACATGGTCGCCATTAAAGAGGTTAAAATAATAACTCAGTCTGGTTCTGAAGGCTTTATGAGCGTTTGTTTGGAGATGAAATTGCAACGAGGGCCCAAAGCCAGGCTGCGGCCCCGGAGTCCTGGACCTCACTGCCAGTACAGCATACAAGGACGGGGTGCTGGACTGGAACCGGGGACGTCTGGGCTGCGTGGTCAGGCCGCCGGCTCACAGCGCCATGATTTAATCATTTTAAAGGAATTCCTTGGATGCAGAAAAGAGCGAGGGACGACCCTTTACATCACTGTGACGTCACGTGTCTGTTGGCGTCCAGTTTACGTGGCGGCGATAAAGAAAGGGCGGAGGCCGCATGTGACGGAGGCGTTCAGGGACACGCTGAGGAAAATGTCCTGCAGAAACGAAACAAAAATCAACACGTCAGCGTTTATTTATACGACAGGGGGATTTTTATCAGAGGTTAAATTAATGAAACCACAGCTTCCTCTTCTTCTTTCATCCTCTTAAATTATTAGTTTTATTTTTATCATTATCATTATCATTATTATTATTATTATTATTTTTTATTATTATTATCGTTGTTGTTGTTGTTGTTGTTGTTGTTGTTAATGCGTCAGCAGCTGCGTTGGACTCTTCGTCACTCTGCAGAGTCGACCTGTAGTTTTACTTCTTGAAGCGTCACAAAGACTGAAACCAGAATTAGACCTGACCCCGGTTCAGGTTCTGGTTTAGCTGTGAGACCTGCTGTTTGTCCCCACATCCAGGGGGCCCCCGTTACGTGGGGAAGGAACCGTCTTTACCGCACAAACACAAGCCCCCTCCCTCAGAGTGTCTGATCCAATCGCTGCACCCGGTCGCTCTTATTCTGGCTGACCTGAATGTCTTTCATATCTGCTCCGCCATGTCCCCCCCCCTCAGTAAACACCTCCCTCAGGGCAGAACAAAGAAAAGCAGCTCCTCTCTCCTCCTTCTTAATCACAATTCAGACCCTCTCACCGCCGCCGGGGCCGCTCAGCTCGGCGGCGGCGTCCCAGATGAAAAGAGCTTGAGAAAAAAGATGGAGAAGAGAAAAAAGAAAGAAGTGAGAGGAGGAGGAGGAGGAGGAGGAGGAGTGGAAAGAAAAGAAAGGAGGATGTAAGGTGGAGTGAAGGTGTTGGTGCCCTACATAGACCCCCCCCCGGCTGATGGACAGTTACAGACAGACGGATGGCATTCAGCTGAACAACAGGACAGGCGGACGAGCGAGAGGGCGAGAGACATTCAGAGAGACTTAGAGAGAGAGAGAGACTGGAAACATCTCAGGAACCAGAAACAGACGCTGACGAGATTCAATAAAATCACTTTAATATTTCACCTTTTATTAGAAATAAATTCTTAATTCTGTGAAGCTGTAAATCTTCCAACACAAACTCGTCCTGCAGACTGATTGTTGAAAGAGAGAGAGAGCTTTGAAATTAAAATTAAAATTTAGACATTTGTTTGTTTTCTGCAGCCATTAAAACGACTTTACAAATGAAATAAAGTGTGTTTCAGGTTTTTCTGTTGCACAAACATTAGGTGAAGAAATCCCGAAGGCCGTGCAGCGCTTCAGGTTCCTTCAGGCGTGACTAAATGTTCTCCCCACTGTTCCTTTAAATGTCTCTAGAAATAGATTTTGTAATAAGAAGTGATGTTGAATGTTTGCAGGCTTTAAATCAGCGTGAACACTTAAAGAGAAACACGTTCCTTTAAAGCTGCTCTCTATTAGAAATTAACCTGTAAGTGGTTTAGGAGCTTTTCACTGGAGAACCGATCTCTTCCGGTTCCTTCAGCTGTTTTCTGATTATTATTATTATATTTACAAGTCAGTTAGAAAGAATTCTCTTTCAGCGTTTCAACAAACCAAAGCGTTGCCACCGCGTTGTTCCGTTTTCTGCCTATAGGGGGCCCCTGGTGGCCCCTGGCGCCTCGGGGCCCCTCGCTGCTGCAGCTTTGTGTCGGAGCTCAGCTGCTTCTTGAGGTCAGGAATCAAGTTTAAAATGCAGCATGTGATATGAATTCCTAATTTCTGCTCCCTCCCGTCCCAGAGCTGTGTTATTGTTAAGAAAAGCAGATTATCTTTATTCACCTTCACCCCCCCACCCGTCCTCACCCGTCCTCACCCGTCCTCACCCGTCCCCCCTCCCTCCAGGATTTAGGCAGATTTACTTCACCAAACACCTCTGGTTGGACAGCGGAGGAGGAGCCGGGGCCCCGCTCTGGGAAGAAGGGGCCCTTTGTTCATGAGGTGCAGCAGGCAGAGACACATTATATTAACAACAGGAAGTCTTAATACACCCCCCCACCCCACCCCGCCAAAATAAAACACACAGAGAGACAACAAGACACCACCGTCACATCACGGTCACATGACCTGTTCAAACGCCACTCACAGTTCTCGCTGCTTCATGAGGTCTCGAGATTTGTTTTGACTCTTGAGATTTAGATTTGTTTTGGTATGTCAGATTCTGATGATCCTAAGATGGTTGTAGTTTGTAGACATGTTTGTAGTTTGTGATATTTGTAGTTTCTAGAGATTTTTGTAGTTTGTGATATTTGTAGTTTCTAGAGATGTTTGTAGTTTGAAATGTTTGTAGTTTCTAGAGATGTTTGTATTTTGTGATATTTGTAGTTTCTAGAGATGTTTGTATTTTGAAATGTTTGTAGTTTCTCGAGGTGTTTGTAGTTTGAAGAGATT